AAGGGTGCACGTTGGGTTAACCTAAGGTTAAGTAAAACCATGGTATGGTTTACTTAACCTTAGGCGCCAAAATTTGAATTCAAATATTCAAATTTTGGTGCCAACCGGTCACCTCCCCCATGTGCACTCATTTGGATGTAATTTGGTATCCATTTGAGTTGCATTTCGGTCACACCATGTACATGTGTGCACATGGCCGAAATGCATACCAAATGCCATACTAATTACATGCAAATGCATATGCACATGTTAACCTAAATTAACCCTAAATTCACATTGGCATGAAATGTAAATCCTAGTCTAGGTGGCCGAAAATACAAGGCCTAAAAGAATGCAATACAAGCCCTAAGGCCCAAACCTACACTACTCCTAATCTACTTGGGCTTGAGTCAAAGCCCAGCTAAAAAGTATGATGGGATTTTGTTGAGCATGGGCCCACTCTTCTTGAATCCTCTTGGCCATAGTCCTAGTAGTTGGGCCTTTGGCCCATGGGCCTCCTCCATCATGGTAATAATATATAGCAAGACATTAATAATATATAGCAATGTATTAAACTATTAATGATAAGTAGTCAATGCATCAATGGTAACTCTACCAAGCTACAATAAAAGAAACAATAACATCATAAAAGATTATTTAATAATTTCTTAATTTTTAGAGACTAATATAACATCTTTTAAATTTTAAGTATTAATTTGAGTGTTTCCTCTTTAAATAAGTAGATTTTTTCTTTCTTTCTCTCTTAAAATTCTAACACGAGAAGATATTAAGGGTGGTCAAAGTGACTTTTATTTTAAAAATTAGCAATGACACACTCTATTTCATGCTTAGTAGGCATAGGATTCAAATTTTTAAAATATAATCATCTACAATTTATGCTAATTAGTGTTAATAATTTAACATTACAATTGGTTTGTTAATAATTTAATGTTACAATTGATTTGTTAATAATTTAATATTACAATTACAATATAAATGAAACCCAAAATGTATTTTTTCTAAGCATATAAATTATATAAATGAAACAAATTGAACTGTGGCAGTGGCACCTTTCTTATTCGTTCATTGCACTATGAGTGCGTCAATAGTGAGCTAACATGAAAGGCCATAAACTTTAAATTGCACGTGGTATGAGCTACAGTGCAGATCATTCTATAGGTGGAAGGTACTAGTTTATGGTTCTATATTCTATTCAACAAATTGAACACGATGGAAACTTTTATTTACTTAGAGACATTGACTAATAATTTGATGAGGTTCTTCTTGAAGAAAACCTCAAGGAATGCTTCATCAACTTCTTCTCGGATCCTTGGAAGGTTGGCAAGGATTTGGAGCACCGAAAATGAAGCAAGTGTAGCCTAAACTCACCTAGCTATCTCGGAGAGAAGGTGAAGGCACCTAACTCTACAAGGAGAGGATCTCAAGTAGGGTAGAGTGAGGTGAAGAGAGACTTTCGGAGGTAAGAAATTCAAAGAGTGATTTCTCATTCAATATTTCCAAAAGTGATACAAAACTCAGCCAAGCATGAATTTATAGGTAAAATTAGGTCAAGGGTGCACGTTGGGTTAACCTAAGGTTAAGTAAAACCATGGTATGGTTTAAGGGTGCACGTTGGGTTAACCTAAGGTTAAGTAAAACCATGGTATGGTTTACTTAACCTTAGGCGCCAAAATTTGAATTCAAATATTCAAATTTTGGTGCCAACCGGTCACCTCCCCCATGTGCACTCATTTGGATGTAATTTGGTATCCATTTGAGTTGCATTTCGGTCACACCATGTACATGTGTGCACATGGCCGAAATGCATACCAAATGCCATACTAATTACATGCAAATGCATATGCACATGTTAACCTAAATTAACCCTAAATTCACATTGGCATGAAATGTAAATCCTAGTCTAGGTGGCCGAAAATACAAGGCCTAAAAGAATGCAATACAAGCCCTAAGGCCCAAACCTACACTACTCCTAATCTACTTGGGCTTGAGTCAAAGCCCAGCTAAAAAGTATGATGGGATTTTGTTGAGCATGGGCCCACTCTTCTTGAATCCTCTTGGCCATAGTCCTAGTAGTTGGGCCTTTGGCCCATGGGCCTCCTCCATCATCCCCTCCCTCTTGAAGAGGATTTGTCCTCAAATCCAAAGCATCCTCCTCATGGTCAGCAAGTCCTTTAAACAGAGATAAATCCGAAACATTGAAGCTAGGACTAACCCCATATTTAGAGGGGAGATCTAAGACA